AAGAAGATAAGTGTTTGCATTTATGAATCACTGCAGCCGACACATGTGAGCATAACCTTGAATTATAGGTTATCTGTAAGCAACAGCTGAAACCCAATTGCAAAGCGTTGTGAGTCCGTGCGATGCGTGCATTGGCTACATGATGCGTATTGAGGCTATGAGACGCGTATATATGGTATATGGTGCGTACAGTGGTTGTGAATCACTGCAGCCGACATATGTGAGCATAACCTTGAATTATAGGTTATCTGTAAGCAACAGCTGAAACCCAATTGCAAAGCGTTGTGAGTCCGTGCGATGCGTGCATTGGCTACATGATGCGTATTGAGGCTATGAGACGCGTATATATGGTATATGGTGCGTACAGAGGTTGTGTTAGAGCGTAACAAGCTTTATGATGCATACGTTATGACTCCGTGAACAAGACTTAGTAGTAACTGGGCCCTGATCATGTGTCTGGTATGTGTGCTAGCAACACCGGGTGTCATCACTGTTATCCCAAGTAACAAATATAAGTTTCAATATCGACGTCCCAATATGTTACTTTATCCTAGCTTTATGCTAGACACAATACCTTCCATCAACCTGGATATCACACGCGTCACTGTACTCCTCTTAAGCAGCAGCAGTTTGTGATGTCAGTATGTTCTATGTTCAATAGGGGCACGGTTGCCCCGGTCGTCTAAGGCGCCGCGATTCGTTGTGCAGAGTTGCGTCCCTTGGGCACGCCACAAACCTATGATTATGGGTTCGAATCCCGTTTCGCCCCGATTATGTTTCCAGGTTTGGTCGTGGGTTTCACCGAAGTGGTTAACGTCTGAGACCTGCATCACTTGGGGCTTTCCTCCTACATTAAGCTGACACGCCGCGATATAACTGGAATACTGTTGAAAGCGGCCTTAAACCTAACTCAGTCACTCACTCACTCTGGTTCAATACCACGCCGGGCTTCACTTGGTAACATTTGAGTCACCATGACTCATTTTCTGAGAATATTGATCAACATTTAGAGATTCATGCATGAGTTGAACTTAACTATATTGATACCATGAAATAACTTTATGGATATTCTATTAATTAAAACACATAATAATGGGAAAAAGGCAACCCACAAATTTCAGTTACATTCCCTTGGATATTGTCGCGTCAAATGCGACTAAAAAGTTTCCCTGATTAAAACGGGTATTTCAAATGTATCCATTAAGTTCATCGGATACATTTTTAATTTTAAGGAGGGAAACTCATATAGCTGAAATATTGCTGAGTGCGGCGTTACACAACAAACAAAACATTAGGTTCATCTCAATTTCACGTGTTCTTATCAAAAGTGTACCATTCATATAAAAAAACAGCAAACTACTACACGTTAAAAATGAACTGACGGATACAACAAACGGTTTCTGGTCCCGTCCGTTTGCTGTGCAACAGTATATATGCTTATAACGAACTACGGTTATAACGAACTCAAGTCAGTGGTCCATGAGTTCGTTATAACCGGAATTTACTGTTCATAAACAGGAAATCTGTATCAAGATGGAAAATACAAGAAATCTACATGGTTAAAATACATTTACAATTATATATTATTGACTTGTTAATACAAAAATTGTTTGGTAAGAGAATAAGAGATAAAAGGGTAGAGGAAGATTCATGTGAGAATGTGAATAAATGCGGATAAATAACAGGCCAAGACAAAAGAACCGCCTGATTGTTAATTTCTATATAATTTCTTAATATTGAATGTCTTATTTGTAGTTTTCCGGCTTTATTTTGAAAACGAGACTTAACGGTACAAACACAATATAGGAATATATACAGAGATCTCAAAGGCGACTGCCGTATTTATAACATGAATGCTAAGACGCAGTTCTGTGTATTTTAACGCAAGTGACCCAGAAGCAGAGAATGTTTATAGATATAATATTCTATATATTCAGACGTACACATTGTATCGACTGCATAGTGTCTGTTATGACAGTTGCATATCACACTGGACGTCAATGCCATCTCTTACACATTGAGAACATACAGAGGGAGTAAGAAGATGTGAGCCCCAGTCAGTAATATTGCAACCATAACAACTGTCTAAAGCTATCGACCCTGAACAAGACATAGCAGTCGCCAGTGTGTGCTGCATGTGTTGGTAACACATGCTGGCCCAGGAGGACAGTCCGGTGGTCAAAACGATTTGGTCTTCTTCACTGGTTACCAACACAAGTTATGTTTACATACAGAAGAAGAACTTATGATAGCCATCCCATTCCCCGTTTCATCAACTCTGACAATCATGAAAAGTAGAGTGAAGTCAACAATTGCACTTTATTAGCCACACGGATGAGTTGTCAGAAATAGTTAGCAGTGAGTCATATTCGTGATGAACATTAACTAGCCCATAGTTCGAAGAGTAGCTTTTCTGGACAGGAGAAATTCCAAACAACACCAAATTGACATAACATAACTTTCTGGGCAATGGTTAGACTAACATTTAGTCTCTGAAATCTTATATTACACAATATCCTTCTTGACTCTAAAAATAATAAAATTCCCTATGCTGATTTCAGCTTGAGCTGGCTAGCCTTGCTTTTGAATGCATTTCTAGATTATTATTTTTTCATAAAATATATATATATTCCACGGTCATGGTGCAGGACTAGGCAATGGTCAGCAGGGCTTCTTCACTCCACTAGCCCTTTTAAAATAGCCACGGACTAACGCTAATGCGTTAGAACAGATACTCATCGAGGACGTCCAATTCCACACTGGAATTTAATCCTCATCGATCGCAGTTAAACTGTGTAAAATAATATTAAAGAAACAAATGCAAAAGAAATAAGTGTACATTTTTAACACAGTGAATTTCGAAACGATAATGTGGCAGCGCAGAAGACTTGAGTTTCCTGTTGATGTCGACTCCCTGACTTGGCTCCTCACACTACCAGATATATTCCTATCATGCTCAGCCGTCAGTTCCGCCTAATTTTACACCACTTTTACAAGGGTCCGTTTTATCTTGAGCACAGTTTAATGTCAGTAAGTGTTTTCCCTGATCAGATGCTCGTGGTTATTTTCTCATAAGGTTACAAAGTCTGATGTACTCTCCACCGCCTCAATACAAACTCTGCCCTCAATTAAAAACGAACTTCTTTAATTTGGTGTTCTAGTTCAAAGGAATGATATGTGCTTGAGTAAGTTGGGGCTAGCAAACCATATTCTTCAGCGGTATGTATGGTTGTATACCTTTTATAAATATCAAAAACAAATTATTACATGAAAGGGCTTCAATAATGAACTGCTCAAACCTACTTGAACGCTCCCTAGAATTGATATAATGAGTGATACCACGGTACACAAACAAAATATAACTCCTCAATATTACTTTTTACAAAGCAATATAAACATACTGTCATTTCAGCTGTTTAACGATGTAATCAACTTTAGATGCATATTTTTTTACTGATGGTATCTTTTGCATATATTTTATTGAAGCTCTTCTCTATCGTAGACTTTCCTACATGTGTGATAGATCAGACGCACGCCTCGTTGCACAGACGCGTGGATGTGTGCGCGAATCCCCCGGGAGGTACCAGAGTTTATAGGTGAACGGCGAGCGGCACCCATTGCCGCTTCTGTGAAGGCTTACACATCTAGGCTAAGTATAAATAGACCCACTTATCAATTAACTTGGCTTCGAAGAACTCCTTTGAGAAATGGAATGTAAAGCTGCCAAAACGTGTCAAACATTCATAGAATAAACAGAAAAGCCTGGGCTCAAATAAGAAACGAGAATAATTCCGTGAATCAGTCTAATTATAATTTTGAATGAATGTCGATTTGTTTTACGGTCGATGAATTCAGGCCAATTTGAATTTTGAATGCGTGTCAATTTGTGTTGCCTTCAATGAATAAATATATGGTTTAATCAATGACATGAAGATCATCCTTATACAATCGAAAGCACATTCACTGTGCCAAACAAAGCTAGGACAAGCTCATGAGCATTTTCGTGGCACGAATATTTACCGTGAGGCAGCTACAAATACCTTGAACTGGCCTTCACACGTGCCTAGTGGTATGCCAGCACAAACTCGGCCCTCCCCAAACAATAAGGCGTCATTCAGTGTGTAGGTTGTGTTTGTAGCTTGCTAGCACGGGGTAATATTTTTTCAATGGAACAAACACACATTAATAATAATGATAAACTGAATCGTGATACGATGCGATGCGATGCGATGCGATGCGATGCGATGCGATGCGATGCGATGCGACGCGACGCGACGCGAAAACGATACGAAACGATACGGAAACGATGCAATCCGGTATAGTACGGTACTAGCGTGGCGTGGCGTTGCGTGGCGTTGCGTGGCGTTGCGTTGCGTTGCGTGGCGTTGCGTTGCGTTGCGTTGCGTGACGTGGCGTGGCGTGGCGTGGCGTGGCGTGGCGTGGCAATATATGTTAAATCATGGTATGATGAAGTACACGAAACATTAATTCAGAACTACGTTCGAAGTTGGTGCAATGTTAGATGAATGTCATTTTGATTCTAACAGGAAGAACCTACATACAAAAACAAACTAAGCATGCCAGGTATTTTTCTGAGGTGAAACAAGAGCATTGTGTGTTTTAATGCTCTGGAACGAAAATAGCTGTAACTTGCACTTAATAATTTTTCATATCATCCTGTGTACAAGATAACTGATCTGTTTATCTCAACACATGAGAGTTGGTTATTCTTAGAGTTCCCCCGTACCAGGAAACAAGTAACATATCGAGATATCAGTGAGTGAGTGAGTCGGGGTTCAACGCTGCTTTGAACAACATTATTTCTGAGTGTTATCTGGAATTAGACGTTTACAACATTGGTTAAACCCACGACTACGGGTGTTGTCCTTACAGACCAGGGATCATATTCAGGGCGAATCGAACCCACGAGTAGCGGATCCTGGCACGACCAAGGGACGCAACTGAACATTTAAGATAAAGGAATATCACTAGTGACACACCTTGACACAACATGTGAGGGGACGATTTTGGCAACAACTGCAGAAACCGTAGAACTGAAATTATTCAAAGGATTGCGTTAATATATATATGTGAGTGAGTGAGTGATTTTGGTTTAATGCCGCTGTGAACAATATTTCAGTCATATCAGGGCACGTCAGACAAGCGCCAAGTTATCGCGGTCGTAGACATTACCAACTTTGGTAAAACCCACGAGCACGGTTTTGATGCTGACACACCAAGGATCATTATCAGGTCGAATATGAGATTCGACCTAAATAAGCGGATCCTTACACGACTAAGGGACGCGAATTTTGGTCCCTTAGACGATTTGTCCCACCGTTAAATATGCATGAACGGGTGGAGAAAACAATCTTATAAAACGTGTACAAATGCTAAGCCTGACTCAAGGTCATCAGTGTATAATTATTAGTTAACAGGAATTTCTGGTGACTGAACCTACGAAGTAAAGGAACAAAACTATATACAAGTAGTAATACATATGTGGAATTGACTCTCAACTTTAAGAATCCACAAGTTCTTCCTAAATCGAGAATAATTACAAACGATCTCTGAACAGAGTGAGTGAGTCATGTTTATCGCCGCTTAGAACAGTATTTCAGTTATACCAAGGCGTGTCAGCTTAATGTTTGGGGAAACCCAAACACATGTAGGTCGACATTTCTTACTTTAGTGAAACCTCGATCACGTGGATGGAGCAAACCAAGGATCATAATCAGGGCGAATCTGCGATTCAAACATACAACCACGGATCCCGGCACGCCCAAGGGACGCAACTGTGCACAGTGATTTGCGGTACCTTAGACCACTGGTTCACTCGTGTCCCTCTCTTCAACAGGTATGCATATAGTATAACAGACAGATCAATGTCAGAAATTGATATATATGATTATAATGGAGAACGGCTGCCCTATGCATCAGTGTTATGTATTATACAGTTACGTCCCGTCCTGTCAGGTTAACCACAGTCCTATATGTCAGGTGTTTCCATAGATTAGAATGACTGAATACAGTTGGGCATAGTAGGGCATAGTTTTATACAATGACATTCACATATAAGCATTGTTTGTAATTCTAGTTCTCTTATCAACTTCAGATGACTAAATGTGCAAGTCTAGAAAAACTGTATTTCATAAAATCAGCATTAAGAAAAGGGTTTAAATATTTAATATATGTCTTTCCGAGCAGAGGAAAAAAATAATTTCCAAGCAAATTTCTAAGAGAATAAAATATTTCATAGACTGATAGACTACGATATTTTGAGACATAACACGAGACATAGGTGTCAAATATGTATACTGAAGAAAAGCGAGACAGATAAGATATACGTGGTTAGACATGGCAGGTCACACTAGGGTTAAATATGCATATTGAAGAATATTGGGGCAATTTGATAAAGACATAGCAAGGGACGCAGGCGTAAGTGATGCATACTGAAGAATATTGGAGCAATTTTAGATGTAATTGGACATGGAAGGACACACGTAGGTAACAGATGCATACTGAAGAATACTGGGCAATTTTGAGGCACAGTTGGACATAGCAGGGCACACTGGGGGTAACAGATACATACTGTAGAATACTTGGGCAATTTGAGGAATATTAGAACAGAAAAGAGCACATGGGGGTAATAGATGTATATGAAGAATGCTGGACAATTTGAGGCATATCTGGACATAACAGGGTACACGGGGGGAAGGGGGGGGGGGGGGGTTGTGGGAGGGGTAACAGATGCATATTGAAGAATACAGGGGCAATCTGAGGCACAGTTGAACATAGCAGGGCACGCGGGGGTTAAATATGCATATTGAAGAATATTGGAGCAATTTGGTATATAGTTGGACATAGCAGGGTACACGATGGTTAAATATTCATATTAAAGAATATTGGTGCAATTTGGTATACAGTTGGACATAGCAGGGTACACAATGGTTAAATATTCATATTGAAGAATATTGGAGCAATTTGGTATATAGTTGGACATAGCAAGGTACACAATGGTTAAATATTCATATTGAAGAATATTGGAGCAATTTGGTACATAGTTGGACATAGCAAGGTACACAATGGTTAAATATGCATATTGAGAATATTGGAGCAATTTGGTATATAGTCGGACATAGCAGGGTACACGATGGTTAAATATTCATATTGTAGAATATTGGAGCAATTTGGTATATAGTTGGACATAGCAGGGTACACGATGGTTAAATATTCATATTGAAGAATATTAGAGCAATTTGGTACATAGTTGGACATAGCAAGGTACACAATGGTTAAATATGCATATTGAAGAATATTAGAGCAATTTGGTATATAGTCGGACATAGCAGGGTACACGATGGTTAAATATTCATATTGAAGAATATTGGAGCAATTTGGTATATAGTTGGACATAGCAGGGTACACGATGGTTAAATATTCATATTGAAGAATATTAGAGCAATTTGGTACATAGTTGGACATAGCAAGGTACTCAATGGTTAAATATGCATATTGAAGAATATTAGAGCAATTTGGTATATAGTCGGACATAGCAGGGTACACGATGGTTAAATATTCATATTGAAGAATATTGGAGCAATTTGGTATATAGTTGGACATAGCAGGGTACACGATGGTTAAATATTCAAATTGAAGAATATTAGAGCAATTTGGTACATAGTTGGACATAGCAAGGTACACAATGGTTAAATATGCATATTGAAGAATATTAGAGCAATTTGGTATATAGTCGGACATAGCAGGGTACACGATGGTTAAATATTCATATTGAAGAATATTGGAGCAATTTGGTATATAGTTGGACATAGCAGGGTACACGATGGTTAAATATTCATATTGAAGAATATTGGAGCAATTTGGTATATAGTTGGACATAGCAGGGTACACGATGGTTAAATATTCATACTGAAGAATATTGGAGCAATGTTACCTGTAATCAGACATGGAAGGGCCCACGTGTGTAACAGATGCATACTGAAGAATACTGGGGCAATTTGAGACACAATTGGACATAGCAGGGCACAAGGGGGGGGGGGGGTGTAATAAGGAATAATACTGGGCATTTTGGGACATAGGTGGACACAAAAAGGACACACAAGGGGTAACTGATGCTTTTGGAAGAATACTTGGGCAATCTGAGGCACAGTTGGACATAGCAGGGCACACGAGGGGTTAAGGATGCATACTGAAGAATACTGAATAGGTTGCCCACAGCAGGGAGTTACTGGGAAAGTCGTTATCGTACAAAATCGTTGCACCCCACTTTCAAAGTTAACATTATATTAATTTATTAGTAGCTATTGCATTCACAGTTTTATGTATCATCAAGCTTTACTTTCGGAGATGGTGATCTACTTATGATATGATATTGGTCTTAGAGTGTATGGTCCTTGGTCGTCGCATTGCTTACTGTCAGAAAGTCACATACACAATATCTATATTTCATTTCACAAATACCACAGATAACGTTGATAATTGTACCCAATCAAGACAGTACTGTTTCTTATTCAAAATGAAATTGTAAACCTACCTATATTAGCCTTAGTGACTAAAATTATTGGAACCCTATCCGAAATACTTGGAAACTTTTCAATGTATATAATTCACCAGTATTTCCTCGTTAGAAGCTTTCAAACGTCGTAAAATAGCTCCTAACATGACGTCGATGACGTTGTATAAGTGCTGAAAAGGCATTTACAAAGTAAGCTGTTAAGAGAAAAACTATATTATTAACATGCAATCGTGCTTACCTTTTTGTGGTTGGACTGAACAACAGAAGCAGAAGACTTCTTACGGCCTCGTTTCTTGGCAGACCTTGGAATTGATGACGTCTCACTTAAAACGTCGACGCTCACGCCGGTGTCACGGCCGGCGTTGCTGTATCGACGGTGGTGGGCGTTTGAATCCACTGTCATAAAGTTATAGGCAACACTTGCCATGACTGTGCTTACTAAGTACAACGCCGTACATACACGGGCGATTTGGATGTCAGGAGATGTCACGTGACCGTCTGACTTATAGTGTCGTTGCACAATGGTCGCCAGCTTTGATTCGAGTTTCCGCTCAAGGACAAATCCGAATGTCAACGTCGAATAAAAAGCCTGTATCCCTGGTATCCATATAATGAATATACACTTATTCACAGATAAATGGAATATTATTCGTTTCGTCGTCAAGGTATTCCCGTTCCCAGTGACATTTTCACATCACCAAGGTTTTGAGTACTATCTGAAAAATGCGATATAATTAACATCAAGAATACAGTGTTTGTGTGTGAAATATCAATATTTATATCTATAAATACCCATGCAGTCGACATTTGTGATCATAGACATATATCTACAGGATGCATACATAGTAGCCATCAATTGTTCAATACAGATCAACATCTGTTTTCATATCTCTCCTCTTGTGTTAAAAACTGTACAACTGCACATTTCAAGAAAGAGCCTCCCGGTAATCCAGACGGCGACACAACTACGTGTACGTTATGACCCAAAGGGAAGGTTTGCGTATTGTGTTACATGTGACATTTTATTTTACAGTAAAATTCGTTTTCAAATGTCATACACCGGCTGAGTATGAATGTTTAATAGCAGACTGCATTTTCTAGGTTCTTTATATCTTGCATCTGAAACAAACACTAATGTAACACGTCAAAGCCAGGGAACAACCAGTCTCGATTTCCTGCCCAAACAGATTCCATTTTGCGTAAAAGGCAACACAATGGTGGAAATTAAATGAATGGATCACTTTAAAATCAGTGTTCGCAAAAGGGTAAACACCATTTTTCTCATTTATATGGTTTGGTGGCTGAAAATAAGTGAAATACAGATTATAAGGAAAATTTATTTTCTCAATACGACTGTAAGACATCACAATATAAACGTAGGTTTGAGTATGGATACTGAGAGGTAATTGTATCCGGTTGTTCATGTCAATTTCTACTGATTTGACTGATATCGAACGCACGTACCGAAAAAAATGGAAATATTGATGAAATGACACTGAAGCCAAAAAATGTTGGCCTTAACAAAAAGGATCCAAAATATTAAAATAATAAATGTAGCTGTAAAGGTGAATGTAAACAGTCACAACATGAAATCACCACAATCTTGTTTTGTGATAATGTGAAACTAAAGCAATCCCCTGATTAATAAAATATAGACATCCAAATAAATCAAAATGTTGCGTCCTTACATTGCTTCAGTATGTAAACAACAATGCGTTCATCCCATTATCTTTTCGATCGGATCGAATACCTATTTTCATATCATGCTGCATAATGAAACGTGCATTGCTCGGCAGGGATGAAGATGGGGTTAGACTAAACAGAGGGAGATGGGAGGGGGGATTCCTGAGATATCTCGAATGGTGTGTGTTTGTACACATTGTATAGTGTTGGAGAAAGCAGTGTGTGTGTTACACACCTGGAAGACATAAGAGTCCTTACCAGCTTTCATCACACGCAACAACAGTGCCTCTTTAACAAAAAGTAAAGAAGGTCTGCCGGCCATATGGCTCTCCAGACGCAGGTTACAGACAGCCTAGTGATGGCCTGTGTAAGGCTATTATGTAAGTGCTTTCTGTAATTACATTACAACCATTGAGGCAATTTGAAACTGGGTTTTCATCCTATTCAAATTTTTATTTTCCTTGTTGGTAATTCTCATTCAAAATTCATAATTGCTCACGTACAAGGTCTTTGTTATATTTTTTTTGGTTAACGTTTCAAAGGACGTTCAACACGTTATACAATTATTATGTAGCTTAAATTCAACGTTAATTTCATTACCGTGTCACAAATAATACATTAACATTTGAGTTTGTTATGCAATCATAAATTAACTTTAATTCAAAATTAAGAGACCTTAATACACTACTACAAAGGAACTAATTCTCAGTTGCATACTTAAATTGTGAAGGAGGCAAGCTCTTATTACTATTTCCGTGGAATATTTATTCCATGAAGTTCATCGGGCAAAATAGGTCCTTAATATATGATTGTTGAATAAAACATGTGAGCATTGTGAATTATGGAAAACGAAGCCAAGACTAATTTTACAGAATCTCGAAGACATTTATTAACATCATGATCAATATACGCCATAGTGTGAAATGGAACAATGTGTGTCCATCGCCATCACTTGGCTTGAGTACTGGTAGTTACGACTTGAAACTAAGCTCACTCCCTAAAATTATTTGGCTGTTGTTTTTGTGTATAACATTCAAACGATTATTACATATGTAATATTTGGCTTACTGTTTTACACAACTAGTGTAGGTAGATTTGAATTTTTCCAGCAAGCAACGGATTTGTGGATGCTTTAAGGCGGTTGTCTGTGTTCTATCAATTATTCATGATGTTGTCAATCTGCCATGCCGTTATCAATCACTGTCAATCTGTCATGCTGATGTCAGTGTACTGTCAATCTGTCTTGATGTTGCCCGTCTGCCATGTTATTACCTAGGTACTGTTATCTGTCATGTGGTTATCAAGCTGCCATGACATTCTCACTGTACTATCATGCTGTTGTCAAACTGCCGTGCCATTGTCAATGTACTGTCAATCAGCCTTGGTGTTGTCAGTCTGCCATGCTGTGACTAAGGTACTGTCAATCCCTCACGAATCTACCAGGCAACTCAATGTAATGTCTTGCTTTTATCAATCTGTGATACCATTGTCAATGTACTGTCAATCAGCCTTGGTGTTGTCAGTCTGCCATGCTGTGACTAAGGTACTGTCAATCCCTCACCAATCTACCAGGCGATTGTCAATGTAATGTCATGCTGTCATCAATCTGTGATACCATTGAAAATGTACTGTCAATCTGGCATGCTGTTATCAATCTGTGATACCTTTGTCAATGTATGTCAATCCGTCATTCTGTTATCAATCTGCCTTACCTTTGTCGATGTACTGTCAATCTGTCATGCTGTTGTCAGTCTGCCATGCCTTTGTCAATGCAACGTCAATCTGTCTTGCAATGTTATTGTCCAGGTACTGTTAAGTTTTAATACATCTGACGCCTTATACTACCACCCAGTTGTAAAGGCGATTTCATACTGACAAGCCGTTATCTATGTTTTGTCAATATATCATGCTTCTGTCACGGTACTGTAAGTTTCCTTTTTTGTCTTCGTTTTTCATGCTGGCGTAGGTTATGTCAATCGGGCAGGAAGTTCAAAGTGAATTCAATATCTCATCCTTGCTTGGTGTTTTCATGACTTAGTGTAAACAATTGTCGGCGTGGTCTCACGAAACATGGACTTTCATAGTGTTATAGTGCTATGTTAGCAAGGTGATTTCATAGTTTCATGCTGGCATAATATAAGAGTGTTTCTCAGGATGGTGTTAGCTAACATGCTAGAACAATAAACGTGGCCTAATTCCGGCGTCGACAACTTCCGACATAAAAGTTAGGAAATGATGGTTAGCGAAGCACCACAGATTGAATTAAAGATATTACATCATAAAAATGTAATTAAGGCATTTAAGCAAACGTGATAACCCATTATGATCAGAGGTCATGGGCAATAAACAACGAAAGTTGGAAATCTTGCTGTGGATCATTGAGTAAGTGACAGAGTTCAAATAAAAGCGCCAAAACCCTTTCCATATTCATCAGAAATATCTGCAACAACGAGAGTATAATAAATCAGGAAAAGGTAAATATGTCAACAAAGGAAGGTACAGTGTTAGAAGGATCACAGATATGAACTAAAAAGTAACAAGACTAATACCAAGCTTATCTGACATACTAACTGTACATGTAATATACAACAGCTACTGAAGCAGATTGACTCGGTGGAGGTTAGTGACTACGAACAATGCTGGCAAATAGTGAGTGGTGAGATATTGATCGAGCTTACATCAAATCATGGAGTGGTGGTTAAAAAGGTAAGATATGCATCAAAGTAACTTATAGCAGGTGTCCCTCAACGCCAAAGACCCCATGACTACAATCTTAACATCTAATGATCCTCACAGCGAGAATATAGATAGTATCCTGCCATATATCTCCGAAGCCCTGACGGCACGTAACAGCCACTTCACGAGCTGGGTCAGAGGGGATTATTATTCTTCCTTGGCCAAAGGAGGTAATTAAATGCAGGTGGTGCTAAATATTTCCTCACTTGGCCCTTTCCTTACTGCAAGTAAATTAGCCACATTACGGGTTTTGTTTTGGAAAATTATCAATTTTCTCTCGTTAAGCTTCGTTTGTAATATTATCAATTATAGATGTGAAATGGATATTTTGATGATTCAAGGAAAAACTGATTTTCCTTAACGACACATACTTAAGAAATTAATATGTCAATGGAAATCAAAGGGTATATTTTCGTAATTATTTGAACCCTGTGCAATGTAGGAAGTACTTTTGATATTTGTAGCAATAATAGATGGATTGAGAAGCGCTTCGCAATTTATAAGATACACGTTTTGCAATTTTTATCAAGGCATTCTGACTGAATCATATCTGTATGAACGTTTATTTACATATAAATCATACAGATTAATTACACTCACCAGGTTTAAGATAATGAAACAAAAATGAATAATAGTAAATGAATTTCGCAACCATAAAACAAGTAGATTAAAAGAAGTAAACAAACTACATATAACAAATTTCGCACATAAGCACAGTGAATTGTCGGAAGTCATATAATATTACGCATTCATCAAATATTGCGGTATTTACGTAAACCAATAACCAGACTTAAAATATAGCAAATTCTTAAACGAAATCAACTAGATTCATAAAAAGTAGTGCATATATTGAACTTTTTAATGTGGAAGCTCTTCAGGCGTCGAATAAATTACGAATACGTTATGTTAATCCTAGTAGGACATGGTGCATGCTATAAAAAGCACACATACAACATCCTCGCTGTGTTTTGTATGAAATCAGAAGCGTCTGACTACCCGACATGTATCATAGCAACATTTATGTACATAACTACCACTCGCTAGACAGTCGGTTGCCCCCTACATCTTATTCCAGGAAACACTCTAAACACGTCCTACCTTTAATCCTTGAAATCTTGATGTCGTCGTGTTCAGCTCTTAATGCACGTCCAGCATGGATTGAAGTATCAAATGCAAATTTCAACAAGAAGAGTACGAATCCATCAACATCCTTGGCCTTGTTCCAAGGGCCTTCTACCTTTAGATAAGTGCTTCCAAAATATTCCGCATACGCTAAACTCTTCTGTTTTCTCAATACTTATCTGTGATGGTGTGTTTGGGAGATGTTTGGGCGCGGGTGCTATCCTATAGACTCCTGAGACAGCTCAAACAACTGACATATGCCGATCAACTCAAAGGATTGATCTTCTGGTCACAGTTTCGTCAATGGATTGACACTTTTGATGCAACCTTGAAACAGTGTAGAACTATTCCTCACAACTGTTCAACGATTATTGAGTCAGTAATGATTTCAATTACATCTCACGTCATTTGAAAAATCAAAGCGGCACACAGAATCCAAGACCTAAGAACTGATCACTTGAAACATATGTTAAGTGGTTGATATATTCTTCATTGCGTGAAGAATGCAAATGGTTACAGCGGTAGTGTGAACATAAAACATCGTACATCTGTTAAGCCGCGTCCCAAAGTCATGTATAGTTGTTGCTTAATGAAAAAGGCCTAGGAAGTTGTAATCCGGAAACGGGGAAGAGATGGCTCCGACAACACTGCACCCATATACTCACGGTTTGTATGAGTCTCACATGCATCATTGATTAAACAATCAAGAAGAGGAAATCGGCACCACTGGTGTAAAAGACCAGTAATTGCTATTCAGGTGACGGAGAGTCCGTAATATACAGCCTTAACTCCATTTCACTCCGCTTCCTCACTTTAGATGCTTGTGTCAAGGCCCACATGCATCGCTTGCGAGATGCAACTACACTTGGAAACCTGACACGAGCCAAGCAAAGCCAGGAAAAGATATGCCAAAAATAAGACAACGGGATCCTAATTTGCAAGCTGCTCTGTGTCGCTCCACACTCTTCACCACCGCTCTGCCGCCATTTTGATCTGTGTAGCAGACGACTCTTTGATCACGTGACATGATTGATGTGGTTCACTGGTTCCGGTGACATATGACGTCATGTAGTTTGTGAAGTTTTAAACTAAATGTTTCAGTGAGTAGAGACTTGAAAACTTCGAAACATTTTAAGGCACGAACACATCACGTGGGTTGTTACTGTTTCTAAATCCGAGAAAATGTCTGTGGCATTCAGGACGCTCCAATTATGCAAATACCAAGGTCATTGAGAGGAATAGGACTGGCGGCAACTGGCGCTAATTCTCCGTGACATTTTACTCATAATTATATCTCAGATCGTTTTTGGTTGACGCCCAGCTGATACAGGCTTTGTTTATCAACATCACAGAATATAATGGAAACAACAATAGCATTAGAAGCTGCAAATGAGCTGCATTAAACAAGTGATGTTTCTTGCTATATGTGTAACACAAGATTGCTCATTTGTTACTGGAGATTACATTTACAGGGAATACAGTTACAGATAAATAGAATCTATCATACTGGTATTTGTTCAGTACAAGATGTCTTAACCACATATTTAGATTTGAAATAGTTTGGTAAATTGGACTGAAAATCGGTTAAGAATTTATTTACTTTCAGATTTTTCAAGTCCACATTGTGCCTTCAGGGATCCTTGGGACGTGATTGTTTTCAAATGAATTGAATGAATTTCCTTCTTTCAGTGTGAAGATCTACGATGAGAGAGACTGGCGTGAGTGCTCCTTGAAATATTGGACTGTCTTCCACTGCTCAGGACAAGCCGACATTCTGTGAACTGATTAAGTAAATATTTTACTCGGATTTATCAATTCCGACACAGGGGTCCGAGTGCTCCTTTTCACCCCAAATACCTCAATCAATGTCGCACAAGTTGTTCCAGCAGAATGACTAAAATAGACAAAATTGGAAATAGAAAGGATTGAATGTCTGGCCCATCTGAATCGAAACTGCTTGATCCGGGCCCGTTCTGCAGATCGATACCAGTCTACGACTGTCGTTACACAAATCTACAAGAGCTGCAAGCTTGGAACTGTCGCGGGGAAACCTCATCTCTTCGATTCCAAGCAGGAACACGCATTATCCCCTGGTACCATCCGCATGTCATTAATCCTATCTAGATAACTGTAGACCGTAATACAGACATATTTTATAGCAGTGTCTACTGTGGAATTAGATACCATATGATGCAGACAATAATGGACAGTATAGACAAATGTATATTATAGTCTGCAATGTTATATTTATTTTTTAGAAACGGTATGAACATTAACTTTTTATTCTTTATTTTGTTGTTTAGCCCCCCTCTCAGCAATATACCAGCAAAATGACGGCGGTCTGTAAATTATCGAGTCTTGACCAGACAATCCATTGATTGACATCATGAGCATCGATCTACACAATTAGGATACGATGACATGTATCAACCAAGTCAGTGAGCCTGACCACCCGATCCCGTTATAATTAGTCACCTCTTACAACAAGCTTTGGTTGCTGAAGACCAATTCTAACCCGGAATCTTCACGGGCCTCTCTGTTTAAAGTAGATTTGAATTTAATGGTTGTTATTTTCTTGGAAACGATTAAGGTCTTAGTCGAATAAACTGGTAACGTGGTGAATAATATCCAAATCCGGACTAACGGGTTAATCTGTTTCCAAGTTTAGAATCCCCACATATGTTCAAAGTCTGGAGCCCAATCTGTTCCACGTCTTGGTGAATTTGTTAAAAACGAAGTATAACCTCACTCACTCATGTCCTAATTGTAATGGCTTATGACATACATACAGTATGTCATTCTGTATGGTTTGCAGCTGGAGTGAGTGGGTGAGTGAGTGAGTGAGTGAGCGTGAGTGTGCCGTTTTTTTGTAACCTTCCATTGTGGATTCCAAATGGTTAAACTGGATGACATTGCTGCTGCCGTGTCATCGTTACCCACCACTGGAGTACATGCTCAGATTATCAACCACTAGTTTGCATGACCAAGACTCGAAGAATATATATTTCACCACCATTCATTCGCTCAACCTAAGTGAGACAGTGTCAGGGGAGCGTCTGATGTATCAGTACCAGACAGGCCATCTCCTGCTGACCGCGAACGTATTCATCACGTGACCGTGTACATGGGGATATAAACCAACTCCAAAAGCCAGCCTTGCATAAAGCACCTTTGACCCAAGAATGCATCAGTTAAGATCGTTACTACAATCCAATCCCCAGCAGCCCCCAAACAGTAGCTGAACATATATTGTTTTAGTGATTGATATGAAGTCTACACCTCACTAATTAGTTGCTAGACTGGAAAATGGCAAAATCGATGTGGATGAAAATAAGTTGTTTTGTCCGTTTAAAACGTTTGGGACGATAAATGAAACAGTAAAATGTATAGTGGTAACTGTCCAGGGAACTGATGCCGAATGCTGTGCCAACACCTCGGCACCCTGCCCTTTACAGAGCTTCCGACAGCTATCGGAATAAATATATATTCCTCAGTTGAAAAGGAATGTATATTTAGTCTAATATAACCTCTGAAACACAGTGTCAGTGTATCTAAAATAGAAGCCTATTTCCCCTGAAGCAATTTCCATTATACATGTAGGGGAGATTCAGAATTGAACTTTGGATCAACTTAGGTCAATTACTTTAGGTTTCTACGTTAATTTAAGTCAGTTGTTATGTCCAGTTTTGCTGATGTGCTTTGAAATGATCATACGAATAACTGTACATGCGTGGATGACCTGACAGGGATAATATGCATCATTGCGATGCGAACGTAAATTTCTCGTTTGGGCAAATTTGGGATAATTAGTTCATGTTCGCCTTTCCGTGCAGAGCTTGTAAGTGCAAACTCATTATTCCTCAATATGATGTGAATGGGGAAAACATATTGATTTTTGCTTAACTGTTTTAGTATCGAAAAAAGCTATTATATTATAGAAATAAAAGCTATTATTAGTTGAACAAAGCAAAAACCCGAAAAAACACACTGAACAGACGTTTGGTAAAACATATTACCTGTAATGCCAAATTCCCAGGAATGATGTAATTATTGAAGCAATAATCACAGGCTGTGGTACGCTATTGGAGCCACTTTCACTGGCCAAGGGTACATTAATACATGACACTTTGTATGTATAACTTATTTTATTCTACTTTCGAAATTATTTAAGGATATATTGTTATGTAATAAAGAGGTTGTTGTCCATAAAAAGTGTCATGCATTCATGTTCTTCCAACTTCTAAAAGACTCCAAGGGTACATTATGGAAGCTACTATCGCAGCCAGTGACACATTAGTAAAGCTACTATCACGGGCAGTGGAACATTATGGAAGCTACTATCACGGGCAGTGGAACATTAGTGTAGCTACTATCGCAGCCAGTGAAACATTAGTGTAGCTACTATCGCAGCCAGTGACACATTATGAAAGCTACTATCACGGGCAGTGGAATATTATCGAAGCTACTATCACGGGCAGTGAAACATTATGGAAGCTACTATCGCATCAGGTGACACATTAGTGAAGCTACTATCACGGGCATCGTCACATTAGTGAAGCTACTATCACGGGCAGTGGAACATTAATGAAGCTACTATCACGAGCAGTGGAACATTATGGAAGCTACTATCACGGGCAGTGAAACATTATTGAAGCTACAATCACGGGCAGTGGAACATTATGGGTGCTACTATCACGGGCAGTGAAACATTATGGAAGCTACTATGAAGGGCAGTGAAACATTATGGAAGCTACTATCGCAGCCAGTGACACTTTAGTGAAGCTACTATCACGGGCAGTGGAACATAATGGAAGCTACTATCAAGGGCAGTGAAACATTATGGAAGCCACTATCGCAGCCAGTGACACATTAGTGAAGCTACTATAACCGGCAGTGGAACATTATGAAAGCTACTATCACAGGCAGTGAAACATTATAGAAGCTACTATCGCAGCCATTGACACATTATGAAAGCTACTATCACGGGCAGTGGAATATTATCGAAGCTACTATCACGGGCAGTGAAACATTATGGAAGCTACTATCGCAGCCAGTGACACATTAGTGAAGCTACTATCAAGGGCAGTGGAACATTATGGAAGCTACTATCACGGGCAGTGGAACATTATGGAAGCTACCATCACGGGCAGTGGAACATTAGTGAAGCTACTATCACATGCAGTGGAACATTATGGAAGCTACTATCACGGGCAGTGGAACATTATGTAAGCTACTATCACAGGCAGTGGAACATTAGTGAAGCTACTATCAAGGGCAGTAAAACATTATAGAAGCTACTATCGCAGCCAGTGACACATTAGTGAAGCTACATTCTAGGGCAGTGGAACATTATGGAAGCTACTATCAAGGGCAGTGAAACATTATGGAAGCTACTATCGCAGCCAGTGACACATTATTGAAGCTACTATCACGGGCAGTGGAACATTATGGAAGCTACCATCACGCGCAGTGGAACACTAGTGAAGCTACTATCACGGGCAGTGAAACATTATTGAAGCTACTATCACGGGCAGTGGAACATTATGGGTTCTACTATCACGGGCAGTGAAACATTATGGAAGCTACTATCACGGGCAGTGAAACATTATGGAAGCTACTATCGCAGCCAGTGACACATTAGTGAAGCTACTATCACGGGCAGTGGAATATTATGGAAGCTACTATCACGGGCAGTTGTACACTAGCGACGCTACTATCACGGGCAGTGGAACATTATGGAAGCTACTATCACGGGCAGTAAAACATTATGGAAGCTACTTTCGCTGTCAGTGACACATTATTGAAGATACTATCCAGGGCAGTGGAACATTATGGGTGCTACTATCACGGGCAGTAAAACATTATGGAAGCTACTATCAAGGGCAGTGAAACATTATGGAAGCCACTATCGCAGCCAGTGACACATTAGTGAAGCTACTATCACGGGCAGTGGAACATTATGGAAGCTACTATCAAGGGCAGTGAAACATTATGGAAGCTACTATCGCAGCCAGTGACACATTAGTGAAGCTACTATCACGGGCAGTGGAACATTAAGAAAGCTACTATCACGGGTAGTGAAACATTATAGAAGCTACTATCGCAGCCAGTGACACATTAGTGAAGCTACTATCAAGGGCAGTGGAATATTATCGAAGC